CATATCAACATTACCAATTAGAATATCATTATTAAGACCAATTGGATTTTCTCTGATTCTAATAACCTTCTTTGGCTTTAATAATTTTGCTTTTGGGCTAAACTTCTTACAGATTGGAGAAGCAAGACTTTCGTTCCGTGCGAGATCTTCAAAAACACTTCAAGATCCTCCTCCACCACACATCCTTGCATGGATAAAAACTGGAATTTCGGCATGTAAGTAATGTCAATCACATAAAACAATAATATTGAATTATTATTACGGGGATATTAAGAGTTCTCTATCATATTTTTTTTTACAGTGATCCCAATTAGAGTTGAATTATTGGCCTTTATCGCATCAATTCACTTTGAAATAAAATTAACTGGGACTTCACCTTTCGTATCAAATGCAAGAATAAGCTTTCTGAACGTACCAGTTTATGAAACTAGCATTATGCCATTAATACCAGTGAACATTGCACAAGTATATTGAGATCTTCTACTTTACAAATTTTTTAGATGATTACTTTACCTTTAAACTCATAAATATATAATCTTTACTGAATTTCTTGTGAACCTAGTTTCCTCTAATCAAACAATTCATTCGCAGTGCTGTACATTCAGTATTAAAAGATCTTACATATCCCAAATTCAAAGATATTAATTTGGGCGAGTTACTATCGACGGTCCCTGTTAATGGTATGATTTGCCATGACTTTATGTTTTATTGCCTTCAAAATTACGCTAATTCAAACTTATATTACTTTTAGACACACAAACAACTGGTATAATGAAGGTTGATATATTTAGAGCAAGAAACCTGACAAAAGTTGATGTAAACGGTAAATCCAAATATTTTACTTATCGTTCTTCCTGTTTAGCCTCTATTTCTAAAATTTTTTATCTTGTTTCATCAAAAATATAGGTGAAAATGATCCATATGTGTTGTCATCATTAGATCCATCTCCTTATATGCATACCCATAACACAACTCACATCATCTATAATTGTGCAAAACCTGAATGGTGTGAAACTTTCTTTCATAAAATTCCGCAGCTTGATATTGTTGATGAATATATAAAATTCAAGTTAAGCGTCATGGATTGGGATAGATTTACTCCTGATGATCTAATTGGAAATGTATGGATTGACATTAAGAATGAGATTGGTGATGGAACTAAAAGAGTTAAAATTTGTGATGGGTGAGTTTTTGTTAGACAATTTGTTGGATAAATAGTGATATTAGATCTGATAAAAATTTTCAAATTATTGAACTCCTTATTAGGTGGCGTGATCTTTATCTTAAACCTACGGATTCATCATCTCGTGGACAATTACAATTTCGGTTAGAATATTTCCCAAAGTTATCTAAAAACGTTGAACCGTCTCATGATCAAACTTGTACGCTGTTTTATTCTTCAGAATTCTTCAGAATTCATTGCATTTATAAACAATGACTAATTACTACTATTATTGTTTAACAAAATTATCCTTACATAAGCTGGAATTCTCGGTCTCCAAATCCATCAGGCTATGAGCTTGCAAGTTACAGCTGCACCATATGTTAAAGAAGCATCTGGAATAGTTTTGTCTGATAATGTTTACAATGCAACGTATCCAAATCCTTATTGTGTCGTATATTTGAACGATATTAGAGGTACGTGTTTTTTCAATATTAGTTGTTAATTTCTCTTCACAAAAATTGAATGTTTAAAGTTAATTAATTATTCCTAATAAATGTAGTATTTAGAACTCGTGCCAAATTAAACAAGTATGTCTTTTAATGAAGTCAGTAATTAATAATAATAATTATTATTATAATTATAATTATTATTATTATTAACTCTCTGAATGCATCTCGACGGAACCATAAGACAAATTGTGCAAAAAACTGCCAAGGTTCTTGTGTCCTGAACAAAGACAAGAGTTGCATTTAAAGAGACAAAGACCTGCACGCAAACTTATCGAATCTTGATATAGTACTGCGCCATACTGGAACGCATCTACTGAACAATTTGTTAAAGATTGGAAAACTGCAGTTGTTAGAATTGTTATTAAGGATCAAAAAGATCTGGGTAATTGTTGTCTCTTAGTAATTTTAGTTTTTGCCTTTTCCTTCATAATCTCATTTGTGAACTCTCCGAAATTATAGAATATGATCCTGTGATTGGAATGGCAACAATTCCTTTAAAGGGACTTCTTGAGCATAAGGGAAAGGTATTCATCTTATTAAATATTTATTATACAGAAACGACTTCAACATTAACTTGTATATAAATAGCAAGGAGCAAAATGGTATCCATTACGACATGGCGTTGGATGCGGCAAAATTAGATTAAGTTTCATCTTCAGAAGTGTAGAAATTAATTTATCGCCAGAAGAAAAAGGATATGATGTGGGAACTTTACTCGTGCATTCAATTGTGGCTGAAGATTTAGATCCGAAACTAACGTGTAAGTGATATCATCTTTTATTGCTATAAATATTTCTTAATGTCAATTAACTTTTTTTCAAAAAAATAAATAGGTAATAATTTTTCCTTAACGCTTTCACTATACGGTTCTTCGAAAAATGAACAATATACAATAACATCTCAAGGTAATACACCGAGTTGGCTAGTTACTTCAAATCATGCAGAAGATCAAAATAAGTTACAATTTGGAGTACTAAGACGTCACAGAACCGGACTTGTAATTACATTGAAACAACGTGGCATATTTGGAATGACTCACACTGTGGGCACTGCTACCTTTTGGTTGAAAGATATTCGCGATTGTAAAGAAGTTGAAGTTAAGTTACCAATATACGCAAAGAATTCTGAAAATATTATGTTGCAAGATCAGACTGACCTAACAAATAATGAAGAAGTTTCTCGTCCTCAACATGTAACTTTTAAAGACAATCTATCGAATGCAGCTGAAAGACTGTCTAAAGAAATAATTTCCAATGAATTACAACAATCACATGAAGCTATTTCCAATGAATCACAAAACGAAGAAATCATTTACGATGAACCGCAGGAATTTGATGAATCGAGTAATATTACAACAAATGAATTATCACAACAGGAAGGATGCCATAATTTCTCGTCTTCATCAAATGATACAAATAAAAAATTTAAAGGTTACCTTAAGGTTAAACTTTATTTCCGACCGGGTTTATCAACAGCTCATGAAGAAGATGTTAGGAAAAGTTTAACAGGAGTAAACGCAAGTGTTTTAGAACTTAATCCATTTCAAAATGTTCATATTCGCAGAGATGATAATGAAACAGAAATGGTTCAAATTGAAGAACGAAGTGTGCCTGATGATACAGAAATGTATGAAAGTGAGGTTGGATCAGGACGTCGAATAAATCGAGTCCATCGTCGGAAAAGTATTAGGCAATTACAATGGGTTAAAGATTTGGTTAGGGCTCAAGTCACAAAAAAAATGACTGGGAAAAAAGATTGGGAAGAACAAGAAATTATCGAGCATGAGGCCTAGGAATGTAAAATTGTGAGAATCACGAGTGAATTATTTGGCGACCGATTTTGTAAAACAAGAATATATATATTTATACTTTTTTTATTTTATATTAAAATTCAGGAATAGAGTGCATTTTATTGCAAAAAAACAGATTTCCTAATAAAAAAATATGTATATCTTCATAGCAAAGGGGGGTTTTTTTTCTTAAGATCTTCAAGATGCAAAAACTTTTGCATAAATAAGAACTTATTAGTTACCGTAATCGAAAATTCAGTTAAGATAAGCGTGCTAATGCATATAAAGAACAGAAATTTTTGTTAAAAATGCAACGTGAAATTGACATTTTAAGAATGATTCTCAGATGCTTCTCATCTGAAAAGTTCACTATTAGGCTCTATTCAATAGTACTGTGATGTATAGATAAATTTGGAAGGTTTACTATAGAATACGTAATCACTTTATGTAAAAGTCTTTATTTTAATTCCGTAATTATCAGTACAATTAAACTATAGAAAATATAAACCACTAAACTAAAAAAATACTTTTTATGCACTTCAGAAATAAATGGAATATTAAAAACTCTTGTTTGCATTTCAACATTTTGAGTTAGAAAATGAAATGGAAGTGTTAAGAGACTCCTTTTCATGAAATTTAATCGTTATTTGAAAATAAATACAAAATCTACTTCTATTAAAATCAAGCATCGCTAACTACATATCATTCAAAAAATTGATTCAACGGACGTACTACCAATTTTTTTGGCAATCTTTGTAATGAATAATTGTCATTAAGGTTGGCAAAAAAGGCTTTTAGGACTTTAGGATTTTTCGGACATTTACTCCGAAAATTGTCGCTTAATATTAATCACGTCCGAAAATCAAACAAATGGAATTTTAGTTAATACCGTATTTATTCGGCGCATCTAAAGTAAGCTCTAAAATTTTTAGGACGTTCAAACCCAACTTTAAAGTAGTTGTTGTTAAAAAATTTTAATTGACCGAGATCTGGTATAGAAACATAAGATATCTCAAAAGAAGAATGGTTAGAAATAATTGCAGAGTTTAAAAAAACTTCAGAAATTTCAGCATTATGTATATCTTAATTTTGATAGAATACAAGAGATGTTTAAAATATTTGCAAAGTTTTGCATCAAACCAAAAATCATTTCAAAAAATAAAAAACTTCATAAACATATTCAATATCAAAAGAGTTAGATTGGCAATATAACTTGAGTAATGTCAAACTTATAGCATTATTAGAAGTCTTCTGCAAGTACAAACCCAAAATTGTAATCAAGAAATTAATATAAATTCTTAACAAGAATAATATATTTAAAGGATTAAACTTCACAGATTTATTAGAAAACTTAATAAAAAAGCTAGTTTATATATATTATAAATATTGTTACAGGGTTGCAATCTTTTTAATACAATATAATCAAATAACAAGATTACATATATAGATGATTATTGTAATTATATATAGGATAAAAGTATAGTAGTTTGTTTTATTATATAGTAGCAGATAAATAGTTTAAAATAGTAATAATATATAAAGCTACCTATTATTTTATTTTATTTAAATATTAAAGTAAGTATTTGTAATTCAGCTAATAGTTATATTACAATCACAGAAGCAATTATAAAAAAAGTATACAACTAATTACTTATACAACTTTAATCATTGTTTAATTGAAGTAGTTTGCTTGAAAATTTTATACTAATTATTATATCTGAAACTTATTTATAAGTTCTTTATTTAAACATTTTAGTTTTTGTATTTATTCATCTATTTATACTTATTAATAATCCTAGTTAATACTAATAAAAATATATTATAGATACTAAGTTTTTAAAACAGTTTACTTATATAGAGAATCTTTGAACTTGTATTAAATTTTTTAAAATCTTCTGTATTTTATTTTTACAATTAACCTAGTAGTATTATAGTTGAAACCAACACTTGTAGTCAGGACTTACTATTAAACTGTTATGCTTTTATAGAGTTTACCTTAATTCTAATATTTATTTTACAACATATTCCTATTATTTTGATATTTAATTCAAATTTTATTAAGTTTTTAGTCTAAATAGTTCAGAAAGATAGATACAATTTTTTTTTTTTTTTTTTTTTTTTAAACTTAAGCAGTCACGCTAGTGCTTTATTAAGATTTTGAAACTACATTTGCAAT